CGTTGTTTAAAATCCCAACAGTTATAACGATTGTTGAACTTCACAAGAAGTGGTAGAATTTAAACCTTGAATCCTACATATGCAAATTGCAATGAGTTTTGGGTGCAGAGAGCAAGCCAATAGTTCTTTTGAGGGTAAGAAGCAAAATTCAAGAGAAGCAAAGGTGAGTCAACTCCCAAAGTGGCTTCCTCAATTCCAAAATGCTACCAATGATAACCACCATGAATGTATAGAGAGGGGTGTAAAAAGTTGCCTAATTTTCAGAGCAAATGGATTTAGTACACACTGGCACTTGACACTGCCACTGGGGCTGTGAAACACAAGGCAAATGTCAAACATGCAAGTTGTGGGCAAAAGAGATGATACTAGGCTTGAATTGCTCTTTCGTATGGCTCTCATTGTGCCACCAAAATGATCATTGATCCACTGAGATTATTTCAACAAAAATGTCAGAGTTCTTAAAAATTCTATTGAAAATTTTATCAAATGTTTTATATGGGTATATGACCCACATGAAACGCACATTGTATGAGTCTCGTACCAATATTTGGTAAAAATTTTAATAGAATTTTTGGATCTCTAATATTACTTTTATTTCAGTTACCACAATTGTTTAAAAAAGAAAATTTAAAAAAAAATAAATCAAAATGATGAGAATTGGGGGCAAATTGACCTCATCGAGGCAACATGGCACACGAAATTAAGGATAAATTTCCAAGGAAAGAAAGAGACATGAGGGTTCGGCATTGAAAAAAGTCTTCCACTAGAATCTCAACTTGTTTTACATTCCAATCTCAATCCCACTAGAATGATGATTGTTGTGTGAGTGTTTTTGGAGTTGCAATGAGAATTTAACCGGTTGTGATCAACTAATCAGATACGTTTTTATTTTTGAGGTCAACTATTAAAAGAGTAATTATAAATGTAAAAAATATTATATTAAATTGATCACTAGTCCTACAATAGTTAGAAAAACTATAATTATCAAATTCAAAAATCACTATTAATTCTAACTTGAGAAAAAATTATTAATTATTACATATTGTGTTTGCAACGACATAGGATTGGTTAGAATTTGAAGGTTGGTTTGCTTAAAACACTCAAAAAGAAGAATTTTGGCTAAGAAACTCTCCGATATCTAAGTCAATATGAGAATAAGCGCTAAAAGTATGAGATTGAGTGTAAAATGTTATATACTTTTTCTGGAATGATCCTCTATACTTTTATAGGCTATATATGCATATGACCTTTTTTAAGTAGTTGAGAGATCACTCTTACTGTTAAATATAGTAGCTATATATTTTGTCTATCATAATACCATATTATATTCATTATCATATACTTAAATTTCTCGCTTCCTATATAAAGGAGTCTTGTATATATTATTACAACATTTAATATAACACAAATTTCTCTTCCTCTCTCTTAGATATCTTAATATGGTATTAGAGTTAGGTTAAGTATCTAGTAATTTTGCTTCACCTGCTCGATGGATCTCAACCCATTCCGCTGCTATATTTTCTTTTCAGTATCGTTTCGTGGTGAGCTCTTTCTTTGTTCGTTGGTTTATTCTTACCTCATATATCTCTATCATATTTTTTTTTTTACTCACAATTTGTAGCACTCCAAAAAATTTCTTTTTTTCTCATTGCTTGAGTGACGAATTCATCGCTCGAGTGGTCTCGTGAAACTTCCACTACTTTTGCGAGTCTGAGATTCTAGCAGATGTTGATGTTCGTTCGAGCACAGGGTTGGTCACTCAAGCGGTGTGGTGTTTCTGACGCTCGAGCACAGGAGTGGTTGCTCAAGCGGTCTGTTCGGGATCAGCATATTTAAAAACCATTTTTGGTCTACTCTTCTTCATTATTTCTGATTCTTTCTCTCTCATCTCTCTCTCTTTAACCATTTTTGAGTTCAAAGCCCACAAAAGCTTGATTTTCATCTCCTTCTACTAATTTACTACCCCATGTTCCTTATATAAAAATGAAGAGCATGGCGAGAGCTTTCTATCTATCCAAGTGGATTGTGTTTTCATTATAACTGGATTTTTGGGTTTCTTCCTCTTCTAGCTTGAGGCAGGGATTTTCTTACTTCTGGTAGGGATTTCCTTGTTTCTTTTCAATATTTTCTTATAAATAGATTGGTGGTATATTTGTATTGCATAAAAACCTCATGTTGAGGAAATTTTCTTGAAAGCATAATAAGGGAGTTAGGGTTTTCAAAATAAGGGGGTTGGATGTAAGATTAATGTGGATTAAGGAAGCTTTGGGTAGTTAGAATGTGGTTTTGTGTTTTAAAGTAAAAAGTCCTAAATTTTGTCTAACCTTAGTTATGGATATATATATCTATATATATATATATATAGAGAGAGATATATATTTAAAGGATGAATTATTTCAATTGGCCTTAAATTCTTGAAATTAAGCTTAAGACGAGTACAAATGATGATAATTAATTGTTGTGAAAATGATTGGGGTATATGAGGGTTATGTTAGAGAAATTGATAATGGAAATTGAATATAAAGAGTTGGTGTTAATGTTGAGAAGTAAAGAATATGGTGGAATACAAATCGTGATTATTTCTAAAGATAAATCTTTATGCTTATTATGGGATGTGTTGTTGAATTAATGTATAATGGAAACAATGAATGATGTAGTTAGTTTAATCTATGAATTGTAATAATGAATAACATGATGAATTGGTGTAATGTGGTATTGGAATAAGGGTCCGTTTCCTTCCAGCTTGTGATCGGTAAAGTGTGGCGCTTAATAGAGGTTCTGCAATTCTTTCGGAATAGCACTCAGAAAAGCATGTGGTCTGTTGAGATATGTGGAGGTTCTGCATTCCTTCTAGCTTGTGATCGGTAAAGCATGGCGATTGATAGAGGTTTCGCCTTCCTTCCAGAGTAATGCCTGGAAAAGCGTGTGATTTGTTGATATAACTTGGTAATGGAGCCAGTGGTTGATTGTGAACTTTTGCGGGATAATTATAATGGGATTTGTATGTGTAAATGTGATAATTAGAAACAGAGAATTGAACTGTATAAGTTTGGAAAGATGAAATTGTGTTGAATTATTCTTATATAGATTAGTTATGTGATATGTGTTGTAATATATATATATATATATATATTGGAGCTATACAGATTATGGTAAGGTGGTGGTTAATTGTGAATTAAAGAGTAGGATGTTTGATCATTTGGAATTCATGGTTAATAGACCTAAGATCCTTTTGTATTGTTAAATAGGAGTTCTTAAGAAAATTGTTGAATTCAAACAAGAAGGATAAGAAGATAAAAGAATGAGTTTTCTTAGAAAAAGTTAGCGGATTTGTATGAGAAAGGTATTATTTACGTATACTTTATTTTGAGTATAAAAGGCGCATTATTTACCTATGTATTGCTCTTTAGCATTCATGATCGCATATATTTATCGATTCTATTGTTAAGAATCATTGTAGATCCCTACTGGACATATTTGTTCATCCTATGTTATTTTTACCATTTTCAGGAATAGGGTCGGAAACACCGATTTGAAGATTCAAGAAGTCTATTGTCCTTTGTGTGTATTTGTTATATAAAGTATAGATGAGAGATATGTTGTGATTTGAGATTAATGAGTGTCTTCTCATGTAATTATTTATTTTGGAATATTTCAATGTAAACCTTGCGCATGTATAAACACTTTCTATTTATTCAAGTGTAATTCTTATTCGAATACACACTACTACAAAAATAGTTAAAGATCACACTTTGACCAAAAAAAAAAAAAGATCTCACTTTTATTGGAAGTGTGATAAAAAAAATTAGATTGATATTTTAATCACACTTAATTTGATTGAGTGTGATAATATTTATTTTTTATGTCACTTTTCAATTAAGTGTGATTATATATATATTTTTTAATCACACCTTCTAATTAAAGTGTGATTATATATACACTACTACTTTTTAATCACACTTTTTAAACAAGTGTGATTATATATATATATTTTTAATCACACCTTCTAATTAAAGTGTGATTATATATACACTACTACTTTTTAATCACACTTTTTAAATAAGTGTGATTATATATATATATATATATATTTTAATCACACATTTTAATTAAAGTGTGATTATATATATATTACTACTTTTTAAATAAGTGTAATTATATATATATACATATATTTAATCACACTCCCTAAATAGGTATGATTGTATAAAATATTTCAATTTGATTTTTATATGAAATATACAATTTCCAAATCCGCGCCTCTATTCTACCCATGAATGATAGAGACGACTAACTACTAGAAAATGAGGCTTTAGACACGGAGCTTTTTGCAACGGTTTGAAAATCGTCGCAAAAAGCATGATTTTGTGATGGCAAAAAAAATCATCGCGAAATTAATTTTTTTGCGATGACATTTGACTGTCGCAATCGCAAAAAAGGCATCAACTAAATACCATTATTAGAGACCGAAAATCTAAGGCCGTGACAAAAAGTAATATTATACGCAATGGTACATTACCTATCTTCTTCTTCTTCTACTCTTTTTTTTTTTAATCCGTCGCAAAAGATTTTGTTTTGCTCATTAATGATGGCCCTTAAACTCGTCGCAAAAACTTAATCCATAATTACCTTCGCTCCCTCTCTCACCCCCTTCCTTGTCTCGCTCATCCCTAAGCTTTCAGACTTCTCTTCGAATTAAAAAAAAAAAAAACTCACTATAACAAAAACATTTAAAGATCACACTTTGACAAATAAAAATATCTCACTTTTATTAGAAATGTGATAAAAAAAAAATTAAATTAATATTTTAATCATTAAGTGTGATAATATTTATTTTTTATATCACTTTTTAATTAAATGTTATTATATATGTGTTTTTTAATCACACTTTCTAAATGTGATTATATATATATTTTTAATTAAGTGTGATTATATTTATTTTTTTAATTAAATGTGATTATATATATATATATATATATATATATATATAGTATCACAGTGGAAACACAAACAAATAAAACCCTCTCCTCCCGTCTTCTCCTCTCCCCCTCTCTCCACTCACTTAGCAATAGCTAGGGTTTTATTATCTTTCTCTCCCCTGTATTAGAAACCCTAGCTTTGAAACTCTCATCCCCAACAACAATAATCACCATCAGCGTTGGATTTGCCATCACCGATCCGCCGTTGCCCGTCGCGTAGCACCTCCTTCTGTCGCAGAACCACCACCTTAGTGCCGACGATGACAGATCTTGAAGGACGACCAAACCCTAGAGAGCTACGGATAATTCAATCGATTCTCACTGTACTCATTTTTTGTACATGTGAATGTAGATATAGGTATTAGCATTGGAATTTGAGTTAAATGCTTTGGTACCCAACTCAATTTCATCTATAATCCATTATCCATCAATCTCTTTGTTTTTCTAGAATTTCCAATTTAACACTAAAAAACACTCATCAATTTCATATGTGAACTCTTTCTATGATTTCCGTTCACCAGATTTGTTTCACTCTCTTTCTCACCTGCATGTATTTCTCATTATTCTCTCTCACTAGCTTTCAAATGATACTTTCCAACCATCAATGCCGGCTCTAAAAATCAACATCTTAGTGGGTTTTGTTGAGTTTTGTCTCATACGAACTTGACAAGTAAAGGTTGGTACTCTCTGTTTTTCTAGAATTTCCAATTTAACACTAAAAAACACTCATCAATTTCATATGTGAACTCTTTCTATGATTTCCATTCACCAGATTTTTGTTTCACTCTCTTTCTCACCTGCATGTATTTCTCATTATTCTCTCTCACTAGCTTTCAAATGATACTTTCCAACCATCAATGCCGGCTCTAAAAATCAACATCTTCAGTGGGTTTCATTGAGTTTTGTCTCATACGAACTTGACAAGTAAAGGTTGGTACTTTGAATTTGCTTTGTATGTTTCTTCGAACTTCAAAGTTAAAGACTACTTTTTGAATTTTTTTATTGTATTATTTGTGTTCAATGTGCCCAAAGACTATCTATTCATCCTTTCCTGACTTTTTATTGTATTATTTGTGTTCAATGTGCCCAAAGACTATCTATTCATCCTTTCCTGACTTTGAGTTTACAACAAGAAACTGAAAATCTGAGATTGGTGGGTCAGCAAATATGAGTGAAAAATCAAAAAACATATTTGGTGTTGGTGAAATTCTACCAATAAAGATTTTGAGTATTTTGTCATTAGAAGATCTGGGAAGTGAAAATTTGTGGTTTAGGGTAAGAAATTAACAAGTGTGAGATTGAGGGAACAAAACCACATAAAAATTAGAGATGCGTTGTAATTAAAATCTTATATAGTCAAGAAGATTTCAAGATTTGTGAGGTAGGGTGATGCAAAGCCCATATAAAAAAAACAGAGGTGGATTGTTTTCAATCAGGCCAGCATTGTGAATTTGTGACTTTGAGAGTTGCAAAATCTATACAAATTCCAAGGTGGGTTGATTTCAGAAAGTATAACAGTTGAGTGAATTCTTACATCTAGTAGAAATCACAGCAAGAAGTGACTTCATTGAACTCTTGAGAATGTCTCAGTATTGACCTGGTAATATTTTTCTCATGTTTAGGGTGCTTTTCAAAATACTTAGTTGGCTGCTTAGAAGAAGGCATAAGTCAATGAATTTGTTTAATACTTTTCATTTTTTTATCTGACTACATAGTATTTCTTTAATCACTGGCTATTGTGTATGCAGTTATGAGCCAAAACATGAATACATTTTTTCTGACCTTGCCCTTGTGCTTTTCATTATCATTACCATTTGTTCATCTGCATACAAGATGAACTCGTGAAAATACTCGTCCATTGTGACAAAATATACTGAGAAACACATGCACCTAATTATTGTTTGTTTGTTTGCAGCAGAGCTTGAAGCAAGAATCAATGGAATGGGTCATATGGCCACCCAAGGTTGCTTGATTTGAGAAGGTTAGTCCTTTGTGTTTTGATCTTATTATCCTTATAGACTAACATAATTGTTTAATGAATTATGTTTCAATTGTGCATCAAATAATTTTTATAGTTATGTCTAGATGGACGACTGGTTTAATTGAAAAGATGGTTTTAAGAGTAGTTTTCTTTCTCTATTGGAAGTCATTGATCCTACAGTTCAATTTTGGAGATAACGTATTTAATCATAGAACCGGACCTTAATCTCTCACATAGGGTGAGAGTGGAATCCACTTAAAATATAGATTGAATCTATGAAATTCTTTCTTCTTGTGATTCGAATAATCTATTCATGGGGCTGAATCTACAAAGCATGTAGATGATTTGATCGGAACCGAATTGGTCCTCAAAATTGTTCCTAACTAGAGGAAGTTAATGGCGTCAACTTTGTACTCTAATCCAATACGAATTCTTATCTCTGTCTCATAAATTTCATTTAATTATTTTACTTCTCGCATTTGATTTGTTATTGTTTTAATTGATATTTGGTGATTTAACATATATAGATTTGTATATTTTGATCAAAGCCTTTTGCTCTATTTGACTATGATTCTGTTTTTGAGATACAAAAGTTTCTTCTGGACTAATTTCTTGTTGGTTGATACAGATTTATATAGAGGTTGACAAATTCGGTGAGGAATTAGTAAAGCATTCTGAGAAGTCATTGCCCTTATTATTGGTCACTATTAATGGTTTATTTTCAAAATTGGAGGCGTCAATTGGCCATTTTCATACAGTGTGTCAGGTCACTTCTCTCACTAATGACCTACTTTGTTTTCCTCTGGCTTTCCCTGTTGTAGTTGCAATTTACCTTTGTATTATTTTCCTCTCTTTTCTTTTGTTTTTCTCTTTTAACTTCTAATTTTATTGATAAACATAAAGCATCAAAAGAAGGTAGAACTACTTACCATTAATTTTGATGTACTTTTATACCATTTTTTGTTTGTGTAATTACTGTGCAGAGTGACTCTTCTGTTGATGGGAGCTATTCATTCCCTCTAATGTTTGAGAAATTTCCAGAAGTGAACTAGGAAGGCTCTCAATGGACATATTGTGAGATTAGAGATGCTATCAACTTAATTTATGAAAATCTACACAAGCTGGATTCTTACTTAAATGTCATTGTTAGAGTCTAAGCATTCTTACTTATGCTTTCTGATTTTTCTTCAAAGTTTGTGGTTGTGTTTTATTACTAAGAATTGTTTGTGGTTGTGTCATTGTAAGACTTTGGAAGGACTTATTAGCCAAGAAAAGTTTGAAAAATCTCGAGCCTATAGTCTTGATAAAAGGTTTTGTTGTTTTTTATTTGGTCACAAGTTTCCTCATTTATATTTTTTTACCTGTGCTACTCACTAATATAGCTATTTTGGTTGTGCTCTGATTTGCCTTTCTTAACTTTCAGCCACTTCCATTTTGTTCATGAGTTTGTAACTATACTGATGGACTTTGCAATTTTGTTTTCTGGGGGTATTGCCTTGGTTGTGGAAGGTGAGTGGTTTGTTGTTAGATTATGGATTGGTTGTGCTAAAACACTATTCTCTGTATCTAATTTTTCCTCTTTACTCTAGACATCAGGAGACTTCCTTGTGTACATGGGTCTTAACGCAAAGAATGAAATAGTGCACACCCTTGCATTTTTGGCCGGTGTTATGTTTTGGTCACAGGTGCACATATCAACCTTCTTTTTGATCTAAATATAATGAATGTCTGGTTTACTTGTTATGATGTGCCATTTTCTGCTTTAAAAGTGAATTTCTTCAAATTATGTCTTTAGAATCATGCTAACTATATTTAAGCAGCCAAGAAGCTTTAGTTAGAACTTAGATGTGTATAATAAGTCAGCAAAAGTTGCAACACTTTTGTTACAAGATTAATATCTAAACAGTTGGAGACGTTAGATCTAGAGAAAGCATTTCGTTCGCATATCCCACTTCCTTAGCTGGAAAGGAACAGTCTAACACATAGTCCTAAAAAACACACACATTATGAGTACCCTGAAAAGTGCAACCTCCATGTACTACCCAACTTTTGCTTGGTTTCTTTTTATTTGGTTTTGATTTGTGACACCAGCAACTTGCAACACTTTTGTTACAAGATTAATATCTAAACAGTTGGTGACGTTAGATCTAGAGAAAGCATCTCGTTCGCATATCCCACTTCCTTAGCTGGAAAGGAACAGTCTAACACATAGTCCTAAAAAACACACATTATGAGTACCCTGAAAAGTGCAACCTCCATGTACTACCCAACTTTTGCTTGGTTTCTTTTTATTTGGTTTTGATTTGTGACACCAGCAACACATCAATGACCCTATGCAATTTTCTGCTAATAAAGACTATTTATTGTTGAAACCGTTCCTTCAAATTTATGGCTTGTATGTTTGTGGGGGTAAAACCAATTCATCTTATAGGTGGGACTTTTCCTAATTACTCATTTTCAATCTCAACTTTCCAATTAATCATTTTACGTCCAGCCATAGACAGTTTCATGAATGAAGAAATGAATACTTTGTCTTTGAATAAATGGTCCCTTGATTCTAGTTGCTAGATTAAGAAATTACATGTTTGGTTCTTTTTATTTTTAAAGAATTTATATAAGATGTTGTACAAATATTTCTTGTTTAAATTATTGATTGAGATGTCAATTTCTTTAAATCATCTTCAAATCAAATTAAGGCAAGTCAAAATTTTCTTCAACATTCTTTTTAAATTTCAGCGAATCCACGCCTGATTGAACCAACCTCTATGTGCCTCTTCCAACCCGTCTTCACCCCGGAATTGTCTTTACGATGAGCCACTCCGGAATCCACCAAAACTTCAGGCTCGAATTCTTCAGAATCCACCGAAGAACAACTCTCTCTTTTGTAGAACAAAACACAACCTTTGATGTACTCTCTTTAAATTTGAATTTGCACACTAATTGGGAGTTTAATTGTTATTTTCTTTAGTCGAACTTTTGTTGCTTATTTCCTGTGCCTTTGTTCCTTAGTGTTCCATTTGTCAAATAGATTTTTTTTTCAACTTCTATCATGTTATTTTTTGCCATCTTATCTTTTTGGTCTCTTCCTAACGAACCTGCTCTTTCATCATCCAGGATTGGATGTATACTTCTTTCTGTTGGACAGGGTGAATTCCATGGTGAAGTGATGCATACTCTGAAGTTTGTTGTGAACTAGTCAGACTACACTGTGCATACATTAAGAAATGTCACAGAGTATCTATTACTTGCGAAAACCATTAATATGGTCCAGGTTTTTCTTCCTTCAAATGACAAAGATGAAATTGACAAGTTGAATGCAGATTTATATACTGCAGTAGATACATTGAGCTAGAAAACAAGTGAAAATTCTGAAACAATACAGAGAGTCTTCAATACAGTGTATGAGTTCACAACCTTGGTATTATCATCAAATTTAGATTTTGTATTGACCTCAAAATGTTGACTGGCAAAAAACCTTAATTGCAGGCGATCGACACTGATCATTATTGCTGTGTTGATGCTTGTTCTATCTCTTATTGGTCTTGGTACGTATCATTGGAAATTCACATTGATGATTTCTTGCACGTGGCTCTTCTTCACTGTTATCCACTTGTAAAATTTATTTTTGTTGCAGTGCTATCCATTCTTGGGCACAAACATGCAATTCACATGTTTATTCATATTCATGAGCGGTTTCTGGATTAATTTATGTTTTCATTTTTCAGGTCAGAAATTTTTTAGAGTGATGCAAAATATGGTCCAAGAATTAAAGAACTTAGATTTTTAAGTTTTTTCATTTTTTAATATATGTAAGCACAATTAATTTTTTATTTATTTAATTCCTTTGTATATACTTTTGAATATTTAATTTTCATTTATGAAATATATGACATTATTCTATTTAATATGTGGTTATGATTCAAAATATAGTATATAGTGTGTATTACATTCTTCAAATATGCATATAAAAATAATATTGACTATTTTTCAAATATGTCGAACCCCTTTTTTTTATCACAGATTTTATTAGTTATTAATCACACTTAAAAGATGTGATGTAAATATTTTTAATCACACTTACAAGACGTAATCTAAATGTTATTAATCACACTTAAAATGTGTGATCTAAATGTTATTAATCGTGATTAAAACACTTCCAAAGATCTCACTTAAAAGGTGTGATCTAAATATTTTTAATCACTTAAAAGATTTTTAATCACACTTAAAAGATGCGATCTAAATATTTTTAATCAGACTTAAAAGATTTTTAATCACACTTAAAAGATTTTTAATCACACTTAAAAAATGTGATCTAAATATTTTTAATCACACTTAAAATGTGTGATCTAAATGTTATTAAGCACACTTAAAAAGTGTGATTAAAAATGACCACTTTTAATCACATTCCCAAAGATCACACTTTAATAAAACTTAAAAGGTGTGATTAAATAACATACATTACACAAAAAAAGTGTGATCTTTATCTGTTTTTGTAGTAATGACATGTAATGTAACTGGACTTAAATTAAAGATTTTGGTAATATATCCGGGTAATAAAATTTGGGGTGTGACACAATCTTTTTTTTTTTTTTTTTTTTTTTCTACTCTGTCTTTCCCTTTGCTTTAACTTCAAATAGGTTTCTATCTTTAAACCTATTTGAATTTGAGGCGGAGGAGAGGGTATTATACCTATATCATAGTGAGCATGGTTATACACCAGGCAAACCACCTAAGTTTCTCCTTAGCGCACTACCTAAGTCGCCCCCTTGGTGTACTCTCTAAGCCGCCCCTTGGCGCACTACCCGGAGTCGTCCCCTTGGCGCACTACTTAAGCTGCCTCCTTGGCTCATTTTGTTCCTTTCCAAGCCGCCTTTTGGCGCACATGGTTTCTTTCGAAGCTGCCTTTTGGCGCACATGGTTCCTTCCCAAGCCACTCCCTGGCGCACTTCTTCATCTATTGCTATTACCGTTCAACACCACGTCATAAGTTACATATATGCCACGTTTACTGGTTCAACACCCATTCTTCTTCTATAATGGTTTGGCACGACCATAAACTATTTCTCGGTGTTAGCTTTGTTAGCTCCGACCCTGTTCTTACAATGGTTCGATATGATCATAAACTATTTTCCAACATTAGCTCCGGCCTTTGATCTATCTCAAGCGCCCTTGCGCTCTCATTCGGACTTTGCAATTCATTTGCTTTGGATCTATTCATATTTTATTTTATTTTTAGTCTTAATTTCTCTCTCCAAACTCAAGTTGGTATCCCTATGTAAGTTTGAGGGGAGTGTTAAATATAGTAACTGTATATTCTATCTATCATACATACTATATTATATTTATTATCATACTTATGTTTCTCTCCTCTTATATAAAGGAGTCTTGTATACATTGCTACAATATTCAATATGACACAAATTTCTCTTTCTCTCTCTTTTAGATATTGTAACAATCACTCTTATTATTCTACTTTGTATAAGGTCATATCCTATGTTCACGAATTTCTAAGAGTGGGTTAGTCTCTGTTTAGTAGAACATGGGTTGACCTGGTTTGGCTATTTGGATTGACTAATTGGTATTTGGAGCTAATTTATGGTCCTGCTTGTCTTCAGGAGTATATGAAAAATAACCACTACACGTCATAAGTTACATGTATGTCACATTTACTGGTTCAACACCCATTCTTCTCTATAACTGGTTCAACACCCATTCTTCTCTATAAGAGTTGAACTCGCAATCTCCCAACAACCACAAAATAGTGCTACACTATAATAAGATTAAAACTTTGATTAAGTAATAATTAAGTTCATACCATTTGAATTTTTTTCTCTTCTAACTTCTTTTTACTCTTCTAACTTCAAAAAAAAACCCCCCCCCCCCCCCCCCCCCAAACATATATATATATATAAAAATTAAGATTAATGCCAAAGTTTAAATTTTTTTATTTTTTTTAATAATAATTTTTTTTTTCCAAAGAGAAGAAAAGGGAACATGAAAAGAAAAACTACATTTATGAGTTTTTTTATTTTTTTTATTAATCAATTGAACATTATTTATAAGTATGAAAAATATTATATCATCAAACATACTACTAATCCACAATAGCTAAAAGGTTTACCAGCCCAATAACACAACCAATAAATGAAACACACTTAGCCCAAACCCCCATAATTGGGGAGAAATAAACCATTACAAAAGATATCAAACTCTTCTCTATAGGAGTTGAATTTATAATCTCACACTACAAAAGTTTTATACATCCATTAGGCCAAATTCTCTATAGGGGTTTTGTTTAATTAGAAAGAAAATTTGATAGAAGTGAAACTGAAAGAAAATGAGGTGAAAGAAAAGAAATAGAAAATAAAATATATTTTCTTATAAGCGTTTGATTAAGATGAAAATTTTATAAGAAAAAGATAGAAAAATTTAAAAGTTTAATCATAGATAACTCAGTCATTGAATTATTTTTTTAAATTTTTTTTACAAAAAATTAAAAATTAATTACAATGTTAATATAAGTTATCCCTTTCTCTTATAGCTTGAGTTGATAGTCAACAGTTCAATACCTAGTTATTGATGCTGAATCCGGATCCTCGGCCGCCCTTCTCGGCGGCCGTTCCCAGCAGCCCCCCAAAACGACGTTGTTTTGGGGGTTTTTTCGTTTTTTTTTTTTTGTTTTTTTCTTTTCTTCTTCTTCGCAGAACCAGAGGGGAGGGGAGGGGAGGGAAAGAAGAGAGAGAGAAAGGGGAGGGGAGGGGGTCCGGATTCGCCGAAGACTCGCCGTCGCAGGTCGTCGAGCTCGCCAGCCGTCCGATCGTCGCCCGATCCAGCTCGTCACAGCAGCTGCACCGCTGTCGCCTCCGCCTCCGCCTCCTCCTCCGGTGATTATGGCCCCCTCCAGTCCGGCCCACCGGCGGCTCCCTCTTCTTCTCTCTCTTCTTCACCTCCCCTCCCCCTCTCTCTCTTCTTCACCTCCCCTCCCCTTTGGTTCTGTTCGAACGAGGAAGAAGAAAGAAAAAAAAACCAAAAAAACCCCCAAAACGACGTCGTTTTGGGGGCTGTTGGGAACGGCTGCCAGGTAGGGCGGCCGAGAATTTGGACTCATCGATGCTGGGCATTCTGTCAGAGGTCATTCCATTGATAGTTGTTAGATACCTGTTCTTCCATCGAATAGGTAACCTCTTTGTCAGAAGTCACTGTTCGGTATATCTCTCTAATAGAGTTTGGAGCCCAATTTATTTATTAAAAGAATTTAGTTTAATTTGGTGTTAGTTATAATATATTTTAATATATTATATCTACCTTTTAGAAGTTCAATAATAACAATTAGGTTTTGATAAAAACCTCAAGAATCAACCACATATTTATATATATTGTTTCTTCCGAAGGTGTAGTTGCTGATTTTATCTTTCTTGAGCGTTGCATCCGTGATTATCAATTTGGTGAGATAGTGCCTTTGTTCTTTGTATAAGAAAATCAAATCGTGCTGTGATTGTTTTTGGATTTGGCAGCTGCTATACAAATTCGATTGACAAATTAGTTCGGTGGCTTGGTTAAAGTATTGTCAGTGAGCATGTTCGGTTGATTTGGGTATATTATTTTGAGTCTTCTATAATTCTATTTTGAAGATTTTTGTTCATCTATTTGGTGAGTTTTTTTTTTTATTTGTAATTAATTGGAATTCACGTAAGGATGGTTTGTGAGACCATTCGTGTCTTGTTTGTAATCGTTTGAAAATTCTTTAGTTGATAGTGGAATCGAATTTTGATCTCGTGGACATACTTCACATTGAGAGAACCACGTAAAATTTTTGTGTGGCTGTTGATTTAATTTTTCTACATTAATTTTTATTCCTATTAATTAATTTACTTGTGAGAAATCATATATTTTCCCTTACTGTCACTTCGTATAGATTTATCAGATTGTACTAATCTCGGCCGACCATTGTGATCAGCTCTTTTTGGTTTTCTATAGCTGAACAAGTTTTGGTTTCGGGTTGTGGGCTTGCCCATCATTTTCTGGGTTTATCTGGGCTTGGGTTTCTTTGACAGAATTCTTGTCCTCCACAATTACATAATGACAACTTTTTATAATTTTTTAATTTCAAATTAAAACTCCTATAAATGTGAATTATAATTATAAGAATATCACCATGACTATATGACTATATGTAATACAATTAATGCTCCTGACCAATAAAACTCCACAAAAAAGATAAAAATGGACAAAATGGGATGTTTATTGATCATGAGAAAACACGAATGGCAAAATAATAAAATCCTAGAGCAAAACACTATGCTTGCAATTTTGATCTTGAATCCCCCTGCTTGTTATGTTAACAGTCATGGTACAGTTCATCTTCACCACAACATGCTTCTTGAATACTCCAATTATCTTCACCCTTCCATCGACCATGGTGTAGCTACTCATAAGCAATGTTCTCGAACTCCAATCGCTGCTAAATCTCTCAACACCCACCACTTTTTCTAGTATCACATCAATCGTGACATTCATTCGAAGCGTCCTCCTAGCCTTAGCAATGCCCGGAGGATTCCTTCCCTCCCCCACGACCATGCCGCCATAGTAAATGCTTGTGGTGGAGTTAGTAAATTTGAAGGAGGCCACATTTGGGTTTTTTACCGACACATCAACTATGACTGTTAAGTTTGTGGTAGGATTAACACGATCCAAACCTTGCACCATCATGGAGTTCATTTTCATCTCGGGTTCTTTGACTTTTAACACGGTAAAAATGAGCACTAAGAGGGTGACAGATAGGATTAACACGAGGGCCACGATGCAGCCACAACACTTGATGAATTTGAGGCTGCGGTGCTTCTTCAACTCCGTGGAGATGGCGTGATCGTCTTCAAAGATGATCCGGTGAGATGAGGGAGCTAAGGGCTTGATCTGTTCCATTTCGGTCATGGGTGGGTGTTGGATTGGAGGTGGCGGTGGTGGAGGTGGAGGGGGTGAGTTTTTGGTTGGTGAGAAATACCAAGAAATAATAATGGAGTGTTTGGTTGATTCTTTTTCATTTTAGTATTTCGGAGACGGCACAAACTACAACTATAAACCCATCAAAATCGTGGAGTCTTCGTATTTTTGTTTTCTTGTCTTCCAAACGCGTTAGCCCAGCATTTGAATATTGACTAGTGACTTTGTTTTGAGAAATTTTTTCCGTTTGCTCAATGGATACATCTAGTAGTAATATACATTTGACTGATTCAAAAAACCAAACAATACATAGAAGCTTCTTTTGTATTGTTTATATATAATGTTATGTATTTTAATATTAAATGGATTTGACACATACACTTGGTAGTCTAGGTGATTTGATTAAAAAATTTATGAGACAAAAACACTACTTGGATCTTAGTTTAAAAGGTCCTTGATCGGCAATATAGTTCATTGGGGTGGTTTTGAGAACCTTAGGGGTTGTTTGATTATTCGATTGTAGCATAGAATTGAGATTATTAGTTGTAATACTCACATTTTAGTATTTATTTAGATTAGATTTTGATAAATATTCTGTATGAGAGGGTTCAAGAACACTGTTGCACTACTAAAAAAAATACTTGTTGCGACCACTACAAGCCGTCGCAAATAATAACAAAACAAGTCGCAAAAGACCTTTTGCGACGGCCTATGCGACGGCAAATGGGGGTCGCGAATGTGAGGGTGGCAAATATTTTTTGTGACCGCAAAACAACAGTCGCAAATTATTTGCGACCACTTAATCTACTTATGGCGACCATTGTTTTGCCGTCGCAAAAAAATTTAAAAAATGCCTACGATGTATTAGCGACCATCTTGTCACCATCGCAAAAAAATTATTAAAAAAAAATGCTTACAATGTTTTAACAATCTATATTATCATATATATATATATATTCAAATATTATATACAATAAATGTAAAGTGATATTTGCAAAAACTCTAATACTCATGTATTATTTTCCATCACTTCCCTCAACAAATTATCTTTCTTCACAAAAAAAAAAAAGAAAAAAGAAATTGTACATACAAAATATAAACTTCTATACATGCAAAATAAATATTTATCAACCATCCTTAAAAGTATTTATATAAAATACTAATAGATTCAAGTACTCAAATAAAATAAAATAAAAAATTCTCAATTTAGCTCTCAATATCACCTACCCAATCATATCAACTACTCCCTCAACACTACCTGCAAAAATATATATCAATATATTAGACATCATTCAAATTATCTTTGCTTGAGCAATAAATACCTATGAGGTTCATTTTAAACAGTCAAACAGTTTAGACCTTCAAGCTTAAATGTTATGCAAAGCAAACCACTTGAAAATGTTATGCAAAGCAAACCACTTGAAGCTATTATATCCTGCAAACAAGAAATAATTCTTCTTGCAAATAACATTTAAGCTTCCTGTACTAGAATATAGATATGAAGCAAGACTGCCAATGTACATACAAAACCTGTAAACAAGAAATAATTCTTCTTGCAAATAAGAATGTAAGAAAGAAACTAATTATATTCTTCTGCAATTTCATTCCAATCAAGTAAAATTTCCTCCCTCCCAAATCCTCTAACGTAATTGACAACAGTCTCCACCCAACCTTTGTTTTCAGTCGCTAACCTCCTACAAAGAACCGGGTATTCCTTACCCTCTGGAATGTATTTAAGCTTTGAAAAATTGTAGTTCAAAAAAATCCAAATACAACTGAAGATATTAAAATATAATGATGAATGAGGTATTGATATTAATGCTAACTTGCGCTATTTCTTCATATTGTAGTGTAATATACATATATGATTTTATTTTTAGAAACTGACCTTAATTCAATCAAGCCTTCTCAATAAATATTCAACTTGAACTTCCTTTGTCAAGGGCATGATCCAGTCCCCATATAGGTCAGCAACCAAGCTTGGTTTTATTTTGCATACCGATCAGCTCTGTCTTCCTCTACATTATTATTATCAGTCACCTCTTTCCCATAAGTTTTGGCTTTCATCTCTACGCTCCTCTTTATCGTCTCTTCCACAGTGGGATACGTCAGCAAATCCATCAGTCGAGTCATGTCCTGCAAAATCACAAGCACCACAATTTAACAAAATCAAAGTGATCATGACCTGTTTCGGCACACAAGGTTTTGAAAAAGTTATACTAAAGGAATGGATGCATTGGGTGCATATGAAAAATAAAATATAAACTTGTGCTCTAATGGCAGCGTCATATGCATCTGGTGAAGCTCGAAATTTAGCCTCTGCTACAAATTTACCATAATGAATTCTCTTTGAGAAAGCCTGCAAACAAAGTACATCAATACATAGAACGAATAGTTGCAAGTTAGAATGATTGGTTAATCCCCAACACTATGTTAAATGCCATGCTTTGGGATATATGAAAAACATATTGAAAAACGTTATGCTAATATATATATATATATAATTAGTCAGCATATATCTGCAAAAGCAGCAAATCCATCAATTACTTTACTTCTATCATGAGAAAGAATGTTGGATCATTAATGTAACTAGTGAACACTGTAGGCGGTCACTAATACTCGGCAAATGGATCATTCACTGTTTTTCAACGGGGAAAATGTCTTGTTTATAATTCAGCGTAGGATATTCAATTTAGACTGCTTGCTTTACCATTTGTAGAAAATTAAACATGATGAGCTTCATGGACAAAATCAAATTAAAAACAAATTATCATCTACAAATAGGTGTGTTCAAGCTAGCACACACTCAGAAGCATTAAAATGCAGTTCACAGTACATTACTGCAGTAAAATCATCTCCTGTTCCAATAATTCACAGTTCAAACTAATCGAGATTAATTATATTTTAAAAATGTATACCTGCAAGCAAATTGTGTCACAGACTGCAGCTGAACTGTAGTTACCATCATCTCCTTCCCTGACTAGTCATGTAAGAAGATCCCTAAAATACATATCCCATATTTTATTGTTGATATTGATTGCATCAGCGATGGGATGAAGAACCTATTTGAATACATAAAACAAGGGGCTCTGTCAGCAATGGCTGGCATAAAAATTTGCAAGCACAAACAAGTGCATAGTGAGAAAGAGAGAGTTTAACAATTGTAATAGTTGATCCCAAGATTTTACTAAATTAACATCAAGATTATATTCTACACTTGGATTTGATAAAGTTTCGTGCATGTAGCAAATCTATGTGGTTGACTTCATCAAATTAAATTGAGCTCAAGAAGTCATGAACAAGCACCCTCCAAGTTTGCCATGTTCTAATCCAAACTTCATAAATTTGCATGTTACGCATTATGTTACAAGCTATGTCAATGATAATTCTGGCTCAGAGTAAATTAACTAAAACCATTGTATCTATTGTCTTACCTGAGGGTACTACAGAGGTGGCAGCATTGGATCTGGTAAGTCATCCGGGAAGAAAGGATGCTCATCGGGACTCTTGTATCTTCCAACCTGATATGCACTAAAAAATAAATCAGAAACTAGCAATAAAATCATTCTATTTTCCTCCTTTCATAAATTAAGGCATAACATACCCGAGCATGAAGCTTTTCAGTTTCTTTGAAGGATGATAACCAAGCGATACACATCTGCTCCAGCATATGGATTTCACCAATAAGCAGAGCATTAACAATTGAAAGTAAAATCATATCATATATACAGATAAACAATGGCCTCCAAGTGCCACAGAACAATACATCAGTAGTTTAGCATATTTATTGAAACCATTCTTGTTGCAGGTTTCCAAGTAAAACATTCATAGATGAACAATGGCCTCCAAGTGCCATAGAACAATGCAAATGAAAAGATCAAAAACACTAATCTATTCAATCATGAGCATCTCATCGAACAGAAAAAAAGATTGACTCACTGAATATAACAGCTACATAAACAATAAAGGATTGGATTGAACAGCTATATAATCTATTCAATTTTGTTATTTATCGAACGCTAAAAGGTCCGAATCTATTGTCAAGCAAATTACATAAGAGATGACAGAAATTTGGATATAGAAAATACACATTCATCATTTTCGCAGTACAGAACTGAAATCAAATACACAATTAATGATATAAAATACACAATTATTTATTGAACGCTATAAGGTCCGAATCTATAAAAGCTTCGTCAAAAATACATAATGATTTATATCTCCTTGCTCTGACTTTCAAATCCAATTTAGCTGATGTAACATATGCTGCAATCTAACATGACAAAAAATAATAATAATAATTCGAATTCAGAACTGAAATCAAGCAAGTTCAGAGCAAGTTCATCATTTTTGCAGCACAGAAAATACACAATTAAGAATTGAATGGTTCAGCTTGTACCTATAACAGATGAGGAATGGTTGATTCAGACCAAAGCTTCGTCGAAAGGTGATCTACGATTGTGACTACAGTGAGTTCAGATGATAAGAAACAAGTGATCGAAGAGAGGCGAAGAAGTTGAAATACGCATGAATGATTTGAAGAAACTCACTGAGACGAGAGAGAGAGAGAGAGAGAGAGAGAGAGAGTTCATATCGTTGGAGATCTCTTCTTCAGACGACCATGGTGATCTATAGAGGGAAATCGAGAGAGGGAAATCAGATTCTCTTACACACGATCGAGCGAAATCAGATTTGAGGGAAATGAGAGTCCAGGGGAAATCAGTCTCTGTTAGGGCATATGTGTAATAAAAGGAGGGTGCTATTGGAAATATTAGTTTTTGCGACGGTCAAATAATCAGTCGCAAAAACATTAGTCGCAAAAAGCCAATTTTCTAGTAGTGTTGGAAAATTCGAAGATCTTCGAAGACCCTTGAAGAAAAAACTTCGAATTCTCTAGAAGATAATGAGAAGCTTAGATTCTTCAATAGTCTCAACTAAGAATACAAAAGAAAGAAGATGATGAAGATAAGAGATTGGGAGAA